GTTATATAAATTTTGATAAAAGAGCACAGAAGATTTGACACGGTTTAAGGACAAAACACCACAGATGCCAATATTTACTAGGGCTGATGAGCGATGGTATGGTTAAGGCTGTTGGGGATGCCGTTACTCTGTAACACATGGTGAGCGATGAAATGTGTCAGGTTGTCGGGGATGCCGTAACTCCTTAACACACGGTGAGGGATGGTATGGAGCAGGCTGTCGGGGATGCCGTTACTATGTAACACACGCGCTGAGGGATGGTATGGACCAGGCCAGTCGGTGATCTCGTTACTCTGTAACACACAGTCCACCGCCATAAGCCACTTACTCAGATATGAATGAAGTCATCGTCGAATGCTTGCCTTATATTCCCCGGGTCGAGTTGCAGGGTGTTGCTCCACACTTGTCTATGAAATTTGCAGACCCGATTTAAAGACTGCCTGTAGCAATAAATTAAGATTATCGCACATCTTTTCCACACTTAAACATAATGGGAACCTTTGTTAAGAAGCAGGTGATAATAATCGACATCAGTAGCTCATTACGGTAGTACTTACGAGCTGATTAATAGGTACACATGAGTTTCTCAACATGCAAGTTCAGTGTTGAAATACCAGGTGTCAAGAACAGGGGAACGGCTGAAGTCCCTTGGCGCTTCGCTACAACCACCAGGCGCCATTCTTTTTTACATAGCGTGTATAGCTCAAACTTATTGAACAACAGCGTTTGAAAACAGAACAAGCTGAGACGGAAGAATCCAGTGGCCATGCACGCGCCCGCAAGTGCGTCCAAACCAGATGCATAGTTGATCGTCTACTCGGCCCCCAGCTGGGCGACGAGAGCCGACAGCGTCATACCGTCTGACCGATGGCCGACTGATGAGCATGACTCGTCGAGCCGTTCGGCCGCGGGAGCGGACATGCAGGCCGATAAAATCTGAGTGGGACGCGCGGACGTGATCAAGCCACAGCGCGGCGCCGAGGGAGGCTGTGAGGGCTGTAGATTGGGATTGCCCTCCCCCTTCCCTCCCTCCGCAGGGTCCATGGCATGCGGAGGGAGGGGGCTGCGGTGTCATTCATGCGGTGTTCAGGGGCTAGGGCAGGCCGCTCGGCCGTGCCCGCGTTTTCTTACCAGTGGAGAGGTGCCGCGTGCCGACGTCGACCGAGCTGCGCGTCCATACCGCCGAGCGGCTCTCCTGGAACACTCGATGAGCGCGTCTGCTCGCCCCGGGGTCAATCTGTCGCCTCTGGGGCGTCTCCTGGGCGCGCCTCTGCTCGGCCGGACGGCAATCTGGCACAAATCAATGTCGGCGGCCGTTTGTAAAGATTATCCTTTGTGCGTTGGCTCGTTATCGAGGAGGACACGGTCCGCGAATTTATCTCTCCCCACAGGCGTATTCATAGTGGCCCCCCGGCAGTAACGACCTCCGCCACTCTAATTGGTACTGCTGTGTGGAGCAGGGCCGTGCTTGGCGCGGTCCGGCGCCCGCGGGAGGGCCCCTCGAGGCTCTTCGCCGACCAGCGCTCCAGCGGCGATGCTGCGGTGCGGCCACGCTGGCGGTCAAGCTCAAGGGCAGCCGAATTGTTGGGAACTTGGAACATCTTGGGATACGCTTAATATGAGCGCGAATCCAAGTGATTGGTGCTGTTTTGCTTCCTGGACACTGGAAGATTACAAAAAGATGCTCACAAAAAGATCAGGGATTACGAGAGATCTTCGTGCAGCATTTTCAAGAACATCCTAGATCCCCTTCGCTCCCTTCCGGGCGACTCCTCTTGACTATTTTCACACTCTACGTCACGTTAAGAGGCAATTCCTATGAAATGTTATAAAACCCTCTGGATCTCGGAGAAATCCTGCAGGAATATGTGTATGTGTAAATGTGTCCAATATAAAAAGGCTGGATTCCAAATGACCCTTTACTGAATCGCGGAACTTATCGTACATCTTGGCAAAAGGATCCTGGGAAATCAAAATAGGTGTTTACAGCTTAGGAGCACCAAGTGGCATGAAAAGGGCTAGACATAACCCCTATCAAAGCAGTTTAAACAAGCTGAAGTCAGGCACCGGTCCCAGCATTTCACTTATGGAAGCGCGGAGGCCTGCTGCCTAACTAGGCTTCAAAATACGCTTGCAAGTCAACTGGATCTAACGGAGTTAAACATGCAAATCACAGTCAGAGCAACCAACAAGTGTCTCCTCTGGAGACGCTTGTAAGTCCTGCAAAGCGTTGTCTGCAAATCACAACCAGTGCAACCAGCAAGCGCAACCAAAGCCTGACAGGTGAGTGGTTATGGTTGGCGCCTAACCACCCATCCAGACGCCTGGGATTCTGAACAGCAGCCTTTGGCCCACTTTGACGGACATGCTTGGAGTCTACGTAGAACTGGCTGGAGCTGCGAAGTTTCGTTTTTAAAAGGCTTACCCAGCTCCAGCCTTCGACACGGCCTATGCTCCTGAAAGCGTCGTCTGGGCGCAGCAGTGCATGAGGCATTCTAACTGACGTTCGAGATCGCGGCCCTACGAGGGGGTCCTTAATGTGACCTACAGTCAGACCTTCAAACCCTTTAGCGTTCCAATTGGGCCCTCGATAGTTGGTCTCGTGAGGGCTTTCGGCCCCTCTTTGGCCTCCCCTAAACACGGCTGCTAACTGACTCGGGGCCACTTGCCGCCACAGGACCCCTTTTGGGCACTGTACTCGCTGACCGACGCAAGAGCCTTTCATTGTGTAAGGGACCCTGAACATCGCAAATTACAGATCCCGATCTCGTTCCTGCTTCGGAAATGGGTCACAAGCGCTGAGACGGACACGGGACCGACTGTTTGTCCCCGCGTCGAGGCCTTTCATCATGGGGATGGAAACCCTTAATAAGAGCCCTTGTAGAAACCCTCTGACTGACACTTCAGGCCACGGCACTACGGGTGGGGGCTGGTCTCGAATCCAATCGGGCTCTTGATATTTGGTCCCGAAGGACCCGAAGGTCCCCTCCTCGGACCCCCGCAAACACGGGTGTGCAGGGTGAGAACACGGAAACACGCGGATGTGCAGTATGGCCGGAATCGACTCAAAATACATATGGGGCGTCGTTCCGTGGCACCCAAACAGCTCTTCTACCGCCGTCAGAATGATGCCTGCGGGGCGTGCTTAAGTGTGCAATACAGCCCCAAATCACCTCAGAAACCCGTGAATTTTATTGCCGCTCAAACCCGTTATGTGCGCGAAAATCAACACTGAATTTCCGTGTGCATGCGGTTTGGCCGGGTATCCCCGGAAACACCGATGGTGCGTTTTTACAGTGCACCCCCAAAACTCTGTTAACGGTGTCAGGATGATACCGTCGGGCGTTTGAAGGGTGTCATACGGTCAACGTGATTCCCTCAGAATACACACCGAGTATACTCATGCCGTATGGGTGTCAAAATCGATATCTCACAGGAATTTGCGGGCATCCAGTTTGGCCTAACACCTTAATGGTGTATTTTTTCTCTCAATGTATAACTGGCAGAACACATGCAGCAACACAAAGCTTCTTGTTTTAAACAGCGGTACATTTCACAGTCATTTGCCAGAACCAGAAAGAACAAGTAGAGTCACGATCCCATGGAAGAAAAGGCTTTGGAAATGATGCTGTCATTCTACGTCGTTGCAGAATATTCGTTGCTGATACGTTGCTGCCTCAGTTTACTGATGTGTTATTTAGTTTTAGCGCCACCGAATGCGCACCAGCAGCTCACGCTTTGACACAGCAGAAAACACTCTTGCACATGCATAAACTAGCATTAGTGGCGGCTTGGTTAGGTATTCGGGAACATGTGAGATATCACAAGGCATGGGCACGACCACGTGTCTCTGAGATTGGGTTGACAAATCGGCATTAGGGGGGGGGGGGGGAGGAGATCAAACTGGAATCTGCGGGTGGATTGGCTGACCTGAACATGGCATGTTACATGAAAATTTTTAGAAAGCGTGCAGCCCACGGTGAACGTCGGAAGCAGGAAAATCCCACTGTGTGGAAATTGGACGGACATGGCCCCAGCTTTGCAGTGTTACACCCATGTCAAAGAGACAAAGACGCATTGCGTTGCCGTCATCCGTTGCGCAGCGAAGACAGGCGAAAGGATCACGACTTAAGCTAGCAGGGCACGCATATACAATATACGATGCGTTTCGCCTGATTAAAATCGTTGGCCACATTCAAAAATGTATGGCCAAGCTCAACACGAAATATTTAAGCATCAGTAATCTCTTATCTTATCTCAGTCTTTATCTCTATCTTATCTCAGTCTTTTGACTTCTTCGGGAAAATGTTTTTGCCTGAAATCTTTGATAATTTTACGGGCTGTGATGTTAGAAAGCCAACTACACACCACAGTGCAATTCACAAGCGCATTTGTTGTAATGTGCTTCCAGTGCCGGACCACACCGCATTTCTAGAAGAGAATTCAAATTTCGGATATTTGATACTAGATGGCTAGCTGGAAAACGCTGCATTTTAATAAATGTTTGAAATTATGGTCGGGAAATTAACGCACTCGTGCTACTTTTTAAAGTGTACCATTCTGGGGTCCTTTCCTTAGTCATCCACCCTGGCTGCCTGGGTAATTGGGGGTCGTTAACTCAGCAGAACTTTTTCACTTCATCAACGGAGTGGAGTGGCAATTTATTCATTCCTAAGCTGCATCGGGAACGTTCCCATCAACACCCATTGATCATCCGCCACCGTCTTATCTGTCAACTTGGTCTAATTGAAAAGTCCCGATTCAGGCCAGCCCACCTCATTAGAGCAAAAACATCGCCATTATTCTCGTCCCGGGGGGGAGGGGTTCCTCAGCGGCTGCCCACGCGCCCCTCGACAGGTGGTCACCCCGCCGCACCACCGGTCGCCGGGACTACCGCTGGACGCTGGTGGTCTGCTTGGTGCCGCTGCACGCATGCGCACAATTCGCCCAGCGGACGGCGCGTCGGCGGCAGCGCCTCGCGATTTCAGTCGCGGCACGGACATCAGGGGTGGTGGGGGCGCGCGGCCGGTGCGCGAGGACGGAGCAATGCGTTCAGGTTCTGGAAACTGCTGTTGAGTGCACGCACGTACCGGACGCCTTGAGGAAGCTTTTTCGCTTGCCCTCAAGCTCAGAATGTAAACGCTGCGGGGTTTGCTAGTCCCGTGCTGCTCGGTGAACTGCTGTCCAGCCGACCGTGTGTCACCATGTGGACGTGGCTGCTGCACATTGGTGCCATCGTCACGGTCGTCGCACCAGGTGAGCAGAGCACGGCACGTCAGTACCGCCTGCGGTGCTGATCGCGGAGGGCGGGTTTGCCAGGTGTTCTCGCTACGCGTCAATTGAAAGGCGCCCCTCTTTCAGTTTTAGTCTTAGTCTTGTCATAATCCGTGACGTGCTGATGCGCTTGATTATCGTTTCGTATGGAAGTTCGCAGGATGTCTCCAAAAACCAACTATTTCTGGAATGCAACGAAAACTGCAACGGCAATGAGTTGCTCTTCAGCGTCAGACGCGAGCGGTCGGAAATGTGACACCTTTGCACGCGCGTGTCGCTGAAACGCAGCAGCGCCATGGTTTAATGTACGTCAATGCCACAGCGTTGAGGGCGAACAGATAGCAAAAATAGATTCCTGTTGGATTAGAAGGAAATGACTGACAGTTTACGGATGTAAACAACAAAATTGCTTGCGAATGGCTCACCAGAGTTCCTCAACACAGTTTCGAGGTTGCGGATCGTGGCCATGTGAATTTATATGCATCTGCCACCACGTTGCTGCTACGCTCGTTTCACCAGGCGGCGCTGTGATTCATTAGTTTCACGAGCGCTCCCAACTGCGCGTGCAGCCTTCAAGTGTCGCGCAGTTTGCGGGTGACGCCCGCATCAATGCGCTGCGATTTGACGTTCATGGCATGATTCAGCCATTACGCTCAGGCTATTGGCTCTTACCGTGAATCAGCATGTGGTGCCTGACTGACGTCCTGTGGTGCTCATGCGATGACCTAGTACTAGGTATCGGTGCACGTACATGTGCACATGTGGTGTGAGCAATGTGCACGAGTAGACAGTGTGTGTGTGCGTGGGTGAGTGGTTAGCCTATTGGGCCGAAAAGTGTGTGGCATTACAAGCCTATATCCAATGTACTGCATCAAGACCAACGTACCACACATGCCCACACCATATTTCCATGCAGGGGCGGGTCCAGCCGCCGAGTTTGAGTGAGGCAGTGCAGATGAATGAGACCGGCTCTCACAGAGTTTGTGCGCCCATAATATGCTGAACCATTTGAAGACAAGTAAATGTCCTCGTTGTTACACGTGCCGGCATTCTTTTCTGCTAGTGCACATCTCTATCTACTCTATTCAGCCAAAAGACTACCCAGTTTCCTTAAGTTATTCATTGGTCTCAGCGTCGCTTCCACCGTTGAGGCAAAATGCCATGGCTGGGAATACATTCTGGGCGACTTGGGAGGCGTTTTCCTCCTTAGTTTGCACGGTGGATTATGGTTTGCAAACACCGCTGCCTCGACGGCTGAGAACAATTCGTGACATCGCCAGAACAGTATCGCCGAAAACAGCAGCAAAAGGTGAATGGATCGCTGGAATGGATCGCTTGAAGAAGCATTTAGTAGCAACAGAGTGCCAGATAAAAGGTTGAATTTCATCCTTGTGTGCCATCCATCGATCAGTGCACACCTTGGAAGATTGGCAGGCGAAATGGAACCAGTAGTTTAAGAAGATGATGGCGAAACAGCAAAACACTCCAACGGTGTTACTGTTTGGCAGGCGAAATGGAACCAGTAGTTTAAGAAGATGATGGCGAAACAGCAAAACGCTCCAACGGTGTTACTGTTACCGTTTCTTCTGCTGTTGCTGTCACTTTTGCTGTTACTGTACCGGTAAACAATTCAATTTGGCTATTTCGTAAAACTTTGGGGTTCTCCAGCCGTTTTATCTTTGGAGAGGACGTTTGTCCAAGTTGCACCCCCCCCCCCTCCCCCCGCCTGGATGCAACACCATTAACATATGGCACGCAGGTAGCATTCTAGCATAAGACTATGTGGATAACGCCATATATATGTGTGACATCATTCGGGTTCTTGACTCGCCACAACGCAAAGGGGACCTCGGGCGATGCCATTGGGTGCTGTCCTCCCTGGGAGCATGACCAACAGGAATCATTTGGATGCTTACGAGGGAAACCACGGCAGCTTCCGCGTACGTCCTGTCACATGCGTGGCTCACGACTGCCACGTGGCGGCACGGCGCCGCGGCCCTCCAAGCCGGGTTTCTGGCGGGGATCACCCGCCACGCGCGGTCACTAGCCATTGTAATCGGTAACGGGCGCTCCTGTGACGCGCTGCGTGTGGGCTATTGAACAAGTAAGGAAGGTAAAAAAGGCCGTGTTGACTCGTGCTCTAGGACTCGTTGGCAAATTTGCTTTCTTGTCTGCTTTTGCGCCGCATAGCCAGCTTTGCGTTACGAAAAGCGACGTCGCGGAGTAACTTCCTAAATGTTTCTGGTGTTCTCGGGTGCGACGTAGCACGCCCTCGATGTCTGAAAACGTCCGTTCCGGTGCTCCGTGTCCTGCCGTCCGTTCCGGTGCTCTGTGCCTTGTGTCATTTCCCACTGTCGGCTTAGTTTGGGCGGTGTTCGACCCACATTGTAGGCATGTACCCGCGCTCCAATGCCTCAATAAGCGCACGCGCGTGACGGGCGCTGTCTCCTGACGGCGATGCGTGTGACATGCTATTTGGGTAGTATTTGTTCTCAAAGAGCGGTGTCTGCCGCCGGACTAGCTCGGTGGATCCGTACGGAGCGGGGCCGGGCCCGCGCCCCGCCGGCGGTGGCCTCCGCCGACCGTCTGCCGCGCCGTCACCTGGCTGTAATAGAGCCGTCCGGCCTGGCTGCCGCCCCGCGGCCGAGCGCCGGGCCGGAGGTGGCGGCGGCGGAGTGCCGCCACGCGGCGCGCGGGCCGCCGCCGGTGCCGGACGGCAGGCTGGGGCTGGGTGCACCGGGCACACTGCGGCGGTCGGTGGCCGGGGGACCAAGACATAGGCTCCAACTCTGACACCCTTCAAAAGGCGTCCTCAGATTAATTTACGAGTCGCCCGGGATTATCCTCTGTAGTTATGCTGACACAACTTTTAAAGCGAGTTACACCTCTACTTAAAATCTTTGGTGATACAAAGGAACTCAGGTAAGTACGCTCACTGTGTTCGCCCTGCACCTAATTTGGCTTTCTAAGATATCATTGCGATTTTATTTTTGGTACTTCAATAGGACCGGGAGCAACGCCGTCCAAAACGAGTTTTATATTTTTCTATGAACATTCTCAAAAGCTTTGACCGCCCCTGCCAGGATGTCCTTTTGTCCAGTTGCACACTGACCTGTCCAACCTGTTCAGCGATGACGTAACAGCGCGCACGGCCGTTGGTAGCGGAAATCCGACCTAGTTTCAAAGTAACTCATGGTCAGTGGCACTCAAATGTTATTCAGCAACGAAACCGACGGTCTTAAGAAAGATGCCTTGCTTTGTATCTATCTGCCTACAGATACATGTATATCAATCTGGCAATGTGTATATGTTAATATATCTCTATCTATCTATCTATCTATATATTTATCTATCTATCTAAATCCCTGCTTATATAGCGATCTGCCCATCTGCCTATCATCATCATGTATCTATCTGGCTATCTATCAATCCAGGCTGCGTAAACACGAATATTTTGCTTTGCGCTGTTAATCGAAATGCTACGAATCAAAAAAGTTTTCTTAGTTGTTTTGAAATGCATGGTGCAAGGCTCGGAGTGGGCTGTGGGAAAGACGGGTTTCCGCTAAGATGAGGTGAAGCTGGCCGTAAATCGCACGCACACACGCCACGTCGGCGTTTGAAGTGGGAGTCTCCATCCAACTGAGGCCTGATGAAGACGCCAGCTGGCTGGCTGCACACATCACCGTCAGCTGGAGCGAGGTCCACTCAGAGCGGATAATTTAATGTTGGGGCAGGTTTTAATGCGGGAAGCGGCGGACGGGGCGGTGATGAGTGATGGCCACCGTACGGGGGCGGCCGTGTTTGCGCTCCTGTCGGGCGCGCTCGCCGGCAGCTGGCGGCCGCCCGCCCCGCCGCCCCGCCGCCCCGCCGCCCCCCGGTCAGCACCGGCTGGCGTGCTGGCCACACCGTCCGTTCGGGCGTAGCCAGCGGCGCGGCGGCCGCCCAAGAGTGGCCAGATGTGGACGCCGTTGTCGTAGAAGCTCGTATGCGGATCTAGATCGTGTGTGAAGGTGTATGTAAGGGAACTTCGCGGGACGTCTTATTGGCGACCCTTACCGTCGCACTCTGGGGCAATTTGGCATTGCGGCGGGCAGCACGCCTGGCTATCCGACGTCCAGATACCGGTTGCTATCTTGAGCTCAGTTAATTGGTGGCGAGGCTGCCGTCATTGCTAACGAACTCGTAATGCAAAATAATAGCTCAGTAAATCATTGGTTATATGAGACAATCAAAGCAGTGTCAACTTAATACTGCCAAGCACCAGATGTCAAAGGTGCAATAGCAAGGAACGTCTATGACATTAAAAAAGGTCCGCGGTAGAACACTAAACGCATACCCACAGAAACCATTGCAATCCAGCGGGCAATGACTCCACTGAGCTACTGAATTTCTGTGGACCTTCAGCATTCGCGAACCTTTCGTGCTCATCGCCGTTCCCATTTCTCCTTACGGTAAATTACACATGCAGATTATATTGATGGTTGTTGGCCTATTTGCCGTCTGGGGTGATAGGTGCTAGGTCTAATAAGAGCAGCGAGGCAAGCACACACTTGGACCATAAGCCCTCTTCAGAGCTGTCGCTGAATAGCACTGAAAAGCACTAATGGCCGAATCGTCTGATGATTACCTGCTGTTATGAGAGTTGCCTTCATCCTTTTTTACCCATCTCCCTATACGTCAATCCATATTGTATTACAGCCACCTACACGGTAAGCAGGCCGACAGCTATCAAAGGCGCCGGTAAGAATGATACGCATCATCATCCAGCGAGCCCTGTCAGAACTCAGCCCAGTCAGCCCAATCATACTTGCGTTTGTGTGCACTTTATCCTTACACGCTTGGCTGACTCAATACCTCTTATGTCATTGCGTGCCCCTTGATTATACTCTCCACAAGCGTCTTCACGTTAAAGTTTCCCCCATTATTTTGTTTTTCGGCAGGAATTCTGACAGGCTCTGGGCCGCTCGCTTAATTTCCGACTG